AGGTATCTTTTGTATTAATTCTTCTAAGTCACTCTAAAAATTTAATTTAGAACTCATATCCAAACCTACTTGAGGAGCAGTTTTAAAAACTTTAATTTGATTTTTTAATTGGGTTTGTTTGAGGGATTTTTTTTTTCAATAAAATTGATTTTAGATTTGTCTTTCATGTGAAAGATTCAAGTTGTTCTAGTATGATCATTGATGAAAGTTATAAATCACATAGCACCTATGATATTGATCAAACTATCATTATGAATGATTACAAGAGGTTGGGAAGCTTTACTAGGGTTGACTAGGGTAATTAGTTCAAGTGTGTTGAGAAAATTAGCAAGTTTCATAGTGCAAAACTTCATAATTTGTGCTAACAAAAAAGGAGAAATTTGTTTAGATACGTGAAATTTGAAAGGCCAAAATGATAGTGCCATAACATTATTGTACTTTCATTAGAGGAATATATGAATTGTGCAATTTTCTCTTGCCTTTCAGGATTCCCTTCACCATTTAGGGAGTAAACACTAGCATTTTCCTAGTTATTTGAAATTATAATTCTGAAGACCATGTGCTAGGATTAATAATTAGAAGAAATTTAGTTGTATAATTTATATCTTCGATAATTTTTTTTTATTAATAATAAGTTGCAAAAAAATTTAGAAACCAAAAATAATGAGTTAAGGAACTAGAAAGATAATGATACTGATAGTCCCAATAAATGTTACTTAATATGTTGACCCATCAGTAATTCTAACTGTTCTTTAAACATAAAGAAAAGGTTTGAAATAAGAAGGCATTTCATATCATATAATTATAGGATCAAGAGACAGTGCTCTAAGATTATAATTTTCTGTTTTAAGCACCAAAGGCATTCAAGACCATACCTTTTTGAGCAACCACACCAATGTTGATCTCTAATGCTAAGGATTTTGATTTGAACTTTATAGTTGAAATTTTGGAGAAGGATTCTTGGATATCAGAATTAACATGGGATGCTGATTCATGAAAAGTGATGACATTATAGGAGGAGCTTCTTTCTAAGATCATTTTGCGTTTAACCATCATCACAATTCAAACAATTTATGAGGAAAAATTAAAAATCTGACAGGCAGTGAAAGACGGAAGTCAGAGAAGGATTGCTTTAATGTCATGTTGAAAAATATAAGAAAAGAATACTATCATTTTCTTTTTCCAATAGATAGAATAGGCACAATATTTATAGGAGAAATATAACCCACATAGTGGTCAACAGGTAAGAAAGGAGGTAGACAAATGCAACAAAGCAAAGAGTTTGGTGGACAGTTGCAACAAGGAGAAGAGGTCAACCAACAACTGCACAAGAGGGAGATAGCTGGCAGCAGGTTGGTTGGCTATAGGAACAGCTGGTGGCATTTCGGATTTATTGTAAAGCTAAAACTATGTAGGACAGCATGTTGAGAGGTTTCTAGAATTGAAGGAGTGTTGATTGTAGGTTCCAAAAAAGCTTTCTGATTTTATATCCTTCTTTGTTTGGGGGTGTTATTCTTGATGTTTGTAATAGGATATTTAGATATTTTGTAGGTTGTCAATCTTACAGTTTTTATTCAAATTTCAACGTGCATACTTTCATAGATTTCATTTGTTGATCATAATAATCTATCAAATAATATAGATAGCTTTGGTTTGATTTATTGCTACGTCAATTAATTAATATTGACATGATTCATATAGTAGAAAAATCTATTTTCATACATGTGTCCACAGAGAAATCATTGAATTTTAAAAAAAAAAATTTGTTAATGCCATCCCGATTCAGGGTGTAGTAAAACAAACTAAATATATATATATATATACATGTACAAAAATAATGATAAATAACTGATGAGTCAACTTTAGATATGTATGGAGTATACCTAAAGTGATGGCAAATTGATATGTTAGCATAAACTTACACTGTTTACTATTTTCACATAAATTACCATAAACATAATGATTATGTAGATTAACATAAAACATATACACTTTCATTGATATCATGAAAAGTTACTCTAATCTCATGAGAGAAAACATTCACTATAAAGCTATTATATCATAAAGTATGCCTCCGTTATTATCTATATTGTATGCCCTGATACATTGCCTTTATGCTTTAAAAATTAAAATTTGCTATTGGTTTGAATTATATTACTCATTCATTATAAAACTTTCCTCATAATAGATTCTACAAGCTTTCTTAGTGGACCATCCCAACAGTAGTTATTGTATTCGGTATTTTTGAGTTTATGATGTAGTTGTACTTTTGTTTGTGTTTAGTTTGGGTAATATTTGTTTATATAGTTATTTTCCGCATTAACTTTTCAATAGTTGTTGCTATGTCCCTATTGAACTCTTGTTATAGACTCTATTGATATTGATGAAATAAAATGCTATCTACTTTCTTTTTCTTACCCTCGCATATTTTGCTAACAATTACTTGTCATGGGACAAAATAAGTTTAATCCCTCCGTTATGTTTCATGTTGTCAGGGTGTAGCACCTTATAGACCCAAGGCATGATAAGTCCAATTGCAAAAAACATGAACACAAATAAAAAACCAGTACTACCTGAGACAATCACAATGCACATACAAAAGGAATAAAAATAATAAAGTTTGTAGCTCCAATATTTAAAATAAAAAATTTGTCATAACGGTATCAACTGTTCACATAGGTAATGAACATCGAGTATAAAATCAGGCAACTGAGACAAAGTAACGACAACATAAATGCCTACATTTATTCATCAAAGCCAGGAATAATCGTTAATATTGTGCAAGATAGTTTACTAACACCTGAACTAACATAATTATTAGTATTTATTACTGAAGATGGAACTTATTTTTTATCGTCAGCTAAATAGAGGTTATTGTTGCAAAATTGCTAGTTGTTGTAAACTGAAACAATCAAATTTCTTATGCCACTAGAATTCTGCATAAGTAAAATTGCTCACCTTATCTGCATTCTTATGAGATTCTTCAACAGATTTTGTTAACTCCAGTACACGTTTTGCGTAATTATCAAGACCAGATGAATTGACATGACAAGTTAAATCCTCTTGAGGAGGACCTACAGCAACACTACGTGCTTTTGAGTATCTACGCAACATTACATCATTTATATGCGTTTGAAGGGCAACACAAATTTCCTCTCCCTGCAAAGTTTTATCAAAGGACAAAGATAGCACAGTTCATAAAGACTTTTCCTCAAAAATTGATCAAATCATGTGTGTATACACACACACGTGCGTGTGCTTGACCTGCTTTGTTTCAAATTGGAAAATATGAAGTACGCCTGCAACCCTCATCTTAAAGAAAACAGCAGTGTTGCTGCTGCCAAATTGCATAATATCCCTAAGCTCTGATGAGTGCAAGTATTCCTTCGGAACCGGACGAAAAAAATGGACCTACAAAGCAATAAAAATGAATTTATCCTGAACACGGTAGCTTTTCCTCATGTCATATGATATGCCTATGTGCAAAGTACTAACCCCACGCTTATTTATGCCTAAATTAATTAGACCAGGTAGAAGACCGATTGGATCATCTATCTTACGCAAGCTGAAGAAAACTGAGTTTCCATAAGGTAGAGTACGAAGGATCCTAAGGAACTGCTGCCTTGCGTCATCCTTAGACAACTGCTCCTGCATGGATTAGAAAACATGTAAGATGAAAATAATTAAAACGTAGAATTTTATCGTATGGGCTTCGTTGCTAATATAAAGTTGTATTGAGTTGTTTAATACTGCCGTTGCCAGGTCCCAAGTTTTGGATGAAAAAAGTGGAGGGTTCGTTAGGTAGTCGACAGCCAGCGTAAAACTTGACGAACAATAATAACATGAATCCTTTAAGAAATTGTGTTAATGCTAGGGCGTCCCATGGAAGCGACGCACTGTATGGCCTGAATACAGTGACAACAGGATTGAATCTTGAGTTCTACGAAACAAAGGAATGTTACTCTCACAGAAATGGAGAAGCTGCTCTAGAAGTATTGCCCATAGCATAGAGCCATGGGGAAGATGCACGAGTTGCATGGTGGTTGCCATCGCAAGTATTCAAATTATGCTTAATAAGGCTTTTGAAAATAAAAGAAATTAAAGCAGTAACAACTGAGGCATTGATGAATGATATAAAATGAACTTGCATTACAGGGTACTCAATTTCCTACAAGCCCAACATTAAATTAAATCAAAATTTCTATATCAACATGCATCCGTAGCTATCATGACTATAAATACCAAAAACAAAAGTGAAAGTTTACATCTACTGTCAGATGCTAAACAGATAATGGACCATGAAAAGATCAATGAAAATTCACATTTCAAAATAGCCTGCACACAAATGTCCCATGATAAGGAAAATAAATCATCATTCAATTTCGTTGATGAAATTTAGAATTTTCAAGGGTCTCTAGTATGCCCCCAGAAAAAAATATATTTACAACAAATATTAATGAGCATTTTAGGAGTACAATAACTAAATCATGTTGATGAGAAGATAAATCTAAGAAAATTATTTGTTAAATGAGCTATATTAACTTTATATTACTTCCACAATAGCATTATCAATTGACACTGTAGTTACCAACAAATTATAGCGAGAGAGAATATCAAGCTCCCACTCTCTCTTTGCCCTCGTAATTGCAATTTGTCGTGGTAAAAATCTTTCAAGCAGTGAAATCCACTCACTGTAAAGATAGCCATTGTTTTAAAAGAGGTCCTGCATTAACAAAGCATAGATGGAAAAGTGGAAATGCTTGATAACAACTACTAAATTACCAATTTTACTTGGTACTCACATGCATGTTTCAGGATTATGAACAAATCCAATTTCACATAATATTTGAAGGGCAGATAATTGAGCTGCATCATCCCTACCAACTGGATAATTTCCCAAAACATAGTCATGTTGCAGCTGTCAAACAAAGAGACAGATATAAACAGTAAATTATCAGAAGAATTACACCATCAGATCTAAAATGCTTAAGGGTATATGACGTGCATTGTAGAGATCCAAAGTTAACATACTTGAACATAGGACAGTTGCACAAACATAAGATCGGTAACAGCTTCATCTGACTCGCGAAATAATCTTTTCTTAAATGTAAGTTTACAATGCAAAATTTCTCCTTTGTTGCGGTCTTTGAGTGCTTTAAATTCAGTCAACAAATCCCCGATATATTTGTTATCATCTAACCCAATGAATTCCTCTGCATAAAATTGCACAGCTTAGTAAGAGAACTGCCTTATTAAAGGTTTATTTTAAAACATGAAGATGGAATTGGAATATTACCATTACCACTGTCAACAGATTTTGAGCATTGTACAACTTTTCGGCATTCAAACAAACTGAAAGATGAATAGATCGGAAGTTTGATTATGCTTGCCAGCTCCTGATGAAGATAATTGTTCATGAGAAACATATGATTCAAATATGAAACAAAAATTAAATTTCACATCATAAAGAAAGCCTGCTAATGTGATGGGGACATCAGAGCTTGGAAAGTCTATCAAAGAAGTGGTCGTCGATCTACAGCCACGGTCGAATCAATGTATTTTTGAGTCAATGTGATGGGGACATCAGAGCTTGGAAAGTCTATCAGAGAAGTGGTCGTCGATCTACAGCCACGATCGAATCAATGTATTTTTAGTCGTATTATGTACTTGTCTTTTATTATTTTATGTTTGTATTTGCTTTTGTTATTTTTCACTTTTACCCCTTACTTAAGAGAGGTCATGTGTAACCCAAAGGGCATTATCGTATTTTTTATTTTGAGTCCTTTGTATGAGGCTATATATAGGCCTTATGTTCTCTTTTCATGTTCAATGAATGATTATTACTGAAATTCCAGCTTTTGTGTCTCTTGGTGAGTTTATGAGTTTGGATAGAGGAGCCTAGGAGAGGCTAAACGTATTACCCAACAACCACCCTCGGGTGAGTTCTTGGTTCTCTAACCTTTTTCCCCTTCTTCTCTCCCTTGGAGCAATTGGCTCATCCCACCAACACCACCTCAAACCACCACCCTCCTTCCCCACTACAACCACCGGCCCACTTACCCAAAACCACTCCACCACCGGCCCTTCACCCAACAGAACCTTCATTTTTTAACTTCATGCAATTTTTAAGTAGAAGATCTAAATGTTATTTTCTTCCATGGTGACAGAAATAAAACATATGCACCTAACACGAGCAAACAACAAAAAGAATAAAAAAAATATTTTAATTTTTTGAAGTTTCTTATATTTTAATTAATACTCATCTCTTTGTTGATTAATAATTTTCGAAAAAGAGGAAAATAAATGAGATTGAAAAAGACAAAAAAGATTGGGAGACCTTTGATTCCATTGATAATGAGGTAGGGAAGAAAGTTATTCGCTATAATGATGACTCTAATGAAAAACCCTAAGTGATGACAGCATTGTTGACTTGATTTGTTATTGTGCTGGTAATTTGATCTTTAGAAGTTTAATATTGAAGAATATGAAACTATGAATGAATAAGCTAATCTTGCGCTAAATATAATTAATGTTTAACCATAACATGATATATTATATAATTTTTACTTAATTTTTAAATCTCATGTTACTTTCCCATGTTGATGCTTACATTACAATCCAATTTTACATAATTTATTATTTTCTACTTGGCCGACCCCATGTAGTGGGACAAAGGCTTGACGTTATTGTTGTTGTTGTCGTCGTCGTTGTTGTATTATTTTCTACTTTATGTCTTGCACAATTTATTACTTCATATATACATCAATTTGTTACTTCTTAGTACATTAGAATAATAAAATGCCATTTTGCAATATATTATTTAGTTATGATGCTAATAATTCACTTCCAACCTTCATTTTAACTTCATGCAATTTTTAGATTATGACGCTTACACCTCAAAATGGCTTAAGGCTTACAACTCATCTCACTGATAGAAAACACCTCAATATCCAATTGTTAAATTTCAAACCTTGATTTTAAACACTACTTAAATTGTCTAGAATGAAAACTAAACGAATATTGATTTACTAAAGATTGAATTTTGCTCTAAGGAAGAGGGGGCTTGGTAACGTCATAGATGAAGTTTGGTGACTCTTTCAAGCCTTGCCAATTTTATGAGTGATAAGTTCTCAAATCACTTTAAATCTACATCTCTTGTTGTAAACTCTTCTAAAATTATTCCCTCACACTTTCATATCAATTACTCATTCATTCTCCCACAAAATTATATCTAAAAAGCCTATCAGGGCTCTTAGCTAAGACTAGACTAAATCTAACAATGTTTTGCTCTGAACCCTATTTAGCTGATCTAAACCCTTCGAATTTTATGAAACTTTATAAAATTAAAGTAGACACACTTCCATTTTCAAGATTTTTCAAATTTGAAACACTAAAGCCATAAATTCTAAGTTGGAAATTTTGGCCAGATCACCCTTTCCACTACTTAAGCCAATTTCCCTTGCATGAGAATTTAACACCACTCTTATTAAATCATTCCAAAGGTTACTATACCATCCCAAACACCTTTTAGAAGCCTTCCAAGTCGAATTCATTAATCACCCAAAGGTCTAACAACAAGCTACACCACTAAAAGCCTCATACAGCCTACACAAGAGAAATTATCCAAAATATTTCTGTAAGAAAAAAGAAGAAATCTAGCATCTTGTTGATCCTAATAAAATATAAAAAATTATACTTTTGACTGAAATGAATTCTATGAAGATGAAATGATTATGGAATTCTATGACGCATGAAAGCAGTGGGCTATATGTATTCCTCTACAATAAGAAAAATTTGGGATGTCGCAAAACAATGTATTAAAAAGTGAAGTATTTTGTAATCATCTACGAGGTCAAAATTAAGATTTTAACAACCAAGCAATATAATCTTTCTATCATTGAGTACTTTAATGCAATAAATGTTTATTAGCTTGAATAGAATAATATGATATGCTGCAAGGACGTGATAATTCTCAAACAATTTGTAAAAGGAAAATAGATATTTGATTTCTTGCAGGACTCTATAATGACTTCGACTAACTTTATTTTCAAATCTTAAACAAAATAGCCTACCATCACTAAAAGGGATTTCTTTTCATATACAAGCCAACGAAGGAAGAAAAAAGGAAATGAGTTTTACACTCCGATCTCTGAAATATTTATCATGAAAACCACAAAATCATAAGGTAAGAAGCTTACAGCTACATACTCTTTCCTTAAAAAAGGGCAAAAACATTATCTAAAGATAATTTATGATGCAAATACTTCAAGAAAAAAAGAGGCATCGAAGGAAAAAATACAATTTCTATGAAAAGTCTCCAAGCAATAGTGAAACTAAAAAAAGGTCACCAAAATTGGTAGTCTGTCAGATGGAATCCAAAGGGCTCAATCTAGAAGAATTTAGCAAACTCATAAACTCTCTCAAAATCACCAAGATCATGCTCTAAAGCTCAAAATGGTATGACTTCTAAGACTTCATTTGGGAAAACTTTCTCATTGCCTTGCTTTTCAGACCGCAACCACAGTTTTTGTTTGGTCACACCTTTTTTTGTTGTTTTAAGGGAATTTTTGTACTAGAAAATAATTTTCTACAGTAACTTTTTAAAATAAATTCCCACCAGCTTTATAACAACCTTTACAAAAAATTGTAGCCATCCCAAATGAACAATAACTCTTGTGTTTTTAGTGCATAGAATAATTTCAAGCAATATAAAAAATAAAAAGGCTAATGGTTCTCTAAAAACGAGTGCAAATCAAAAAAATGCTTCATGTTCCTCCATATTTACTCTCATTACTGCATTGCATGTTTCTTATCTTGCCAATCCATAAAATCATTAAAGATAACAAGTGTAAGATAATTTTTTTGCTAAACATTGTGTAAGATTTTTTTTATTTTTTTATTTTTGCTAATCATTTTAAGACCTCACTGCGAGAAAGATAATTGGGCAAACTAGAGAAAAGCATGAGTTATATTTTCTTGAAAATGGAAATCACTTATCATATTCTTTCATTTCTACCCTCAATATAAAAGCCATTTCAATCCATCATTATTATAGACTAGGCATCCCTCTTTCAAAATTGTACAAAATATGATTTTTTTTTTCTTTTTTTAAATGTAAACATGAAAGTTTATCATTATGAGATTTATAAAATTATCAAATATCTTATTGTTATACTTCCTAAAAGTAATTCTAGATCTCTACTTCTTCTATAGGTGTTCACACTGAGATTTAGGGACCTTCTAAAACTACTAACATATCTAAAGCTATAAAATTTATCACCTACATTAATGATTGCACTCAAATGACATAGGTAAATCTAATTGAATAAAAATATAATGTCAACACCATTCTCCCCTTTTTTAGAGTCATGATAAAAACAATTTCAAGCTAACAATAAGGTATTTCAGACAGATAAAGATCGTGATTATTTTAATCACATATTATCATCTTTTTTTCCAAAATGAATGTATCATCACCAATTCTCATCCTGATAGTCCCAATAAAATGAAGTGACAAAAAGAAAAATTCATTATCTTTTAAAAGCCAATAAAACTCTTTCAAAATCAATGTCAAAAAGATACTAGGGATAAGCAATCCTGATTGTTACATATTTAATCAATAAAATAACAATAAGAGTGATTAGCTTCAAAAGTCCTATAAATTATCTAGCTAAATTTTTCCCTACAAATAACTTCCTATCAAAAATTCTTCGGAAAATATTAGGGTGCATTACTTCTGTGCATCTCCACAAATAACGTAATAGTAAACTTGATCTTAGAGCTCTCAAGTGTGGCTTTATTAAATATTCTTCCACTTAAAAAGGGTATAAGAGTTATCATCATACCATCAAAATATATCACATTTGATGACAAAAAAAAAATTAATTGAACTCATCTTCAGGGAGAGAATATTCAACTGCAAGATAAATTTTATTAAACCTCTATCTTTCATTTTGATATTCTTAAAACACAAACTGAACAAATTCAAATACAGTACCCCTTCAAGTCTATAAAAAATGAATAAGCCTGACCAAAATTCAACAAATTTAAGAATCGAAATCATTGAAATTAGTCTGAGGTTGCTGAAATTATTGAAGTGATTGATCTAATGTTGATTGGTTTGTATATGGAAGGTTGTTTTGATCTTCATACAGTTATTTTGATGGCTTCGAGTAGATCTTCTAAGGGAGATAGTTCGGATAATTTCTATGGTGAAGCCAGAATCAAGATTTTCAAAGGCGAAATCGGGAATCGAGGCATTTTTTCTAAGCGAGGCAAGGCGTAAGCCTCGAGGCGGATCGAGGCGTAAGCCTCAAAACGATTAAAATAAATAAATTTAAAATTATAAATAATGACAAAAAATTACAAAATATTATGTCAACTATGAATTTGAAGA